AGGAGCAGAAATTGCTCATAAAGGCAAGGAACAAGCGTGAGGATCAACATATCATGCTGTTGCAGCGAAGAATTACAGAGAATGGAACAAGTTCGGTTAGGGGTTTGCACTGTGACCAGTGAAAACTTCAACTGTTTGTCTTAAAGACCTTCAGAGAGACAGAATGCCACGCCAAAAGAAGCAGTACGAGTGCAGATCGAAGAACCTTCCTGTGGTTTAGGAGACGAGGTTTGGCTGCAAGTTGATTGACTGAAAGCCCCCGAAGGAATCGAGTACAGCCTAGTGAAAAAGCACGAGAAAGCAGCCTGCAATGTGAAAACCGGCAGTAGCCACATTCCAATTGATTCCTGTCAGTTTGGACCGCCGCAGACACTAAGCTACAAGCTGAACGTATCGCTTTGCTCGTCTCTGTGGGGCACAAAATACAGGTACTGTGTGCACCTCAATAGTGAGGAATAATGATGCTAAGCAGTTCCCCGGGATAGTTTATGGATGCTACTCACTAAATAGAAATTCGTTGTGGAGAGCAGCAAATCCTTTTAGTTAGAATCACGAAACGTCCTTAATGAGTTGCACCTCTAAATACGTTATCACAATGTTACTTTCCGCGGTTACTTCATTCCCGCTATTCACGGGTCCGCGAAAGTCAAGTTAATCCTTTTACACGATTTCGGAAACACACCACAAACAAACGCTGTTTTCGTAAACCTAACCAATGGATATATACTTGTACCATGAAAACATGGGCGTTGATATGGCTGCCTAGATACTTGTAGTTCTTGAGGATTGCAAGCTGATTACCACCAAGGGTCAGCACATGGGTTGGTCCCTGCCAGTTTTGGAGAAGGATTTTTCATTTCGACGGTGCAAAGCATAGTCCGAACCGAGTGACAGCCAATGCTAATTTGTTCAGCGCTACTTACAACCTTTGTGAGCGTTCCCAGATTATGGCTGGGTGGTTGGTATACTCATTCTGTATGCGTATAACAACGGCACTAAAGATGAGTTATTGCAGTGTTGACTTAATGGCATTTAAGCGACAACGGCACATGGCCAGATGGAGAATGGAAGCGTAGATGACGCATTTCAACTAAGTTGCGTGGAAGTAGGTTCCCAAGTAACCTCGTCACGGATGTGTGGATTACTTCAAAGGGATTTCTGGCTATAACTATACTTAGTACTACTGTCAACTCTCAGTCTAGTACACTTAACTCGTCGACCAGTTCGAAAACTCGTTTGGGAATCAATCCAAACACTTATCTACTTTGTGCAATCCCATCGTTCAAGTCGAACAAACCACCTAGTTAGGTGTTGTATCGCCGCTGACGCCTTCACCCCACGACCGCAAGAAGAAGTCCAAGACGAGCCAGAAGGAGACTTGTATACATGAAATCACAGTTGCTTATATAATTTGAAGGAAAAATGAAGGGAAGCTACTAAAGTACACTTGAGCCAACCGACTGAAGGAAAAACGTCAAATGCAACGGCGAATAAGCAACCGTGTACTCAAGAGCGAATCGCGTAGGTCCTTATAAATAGCATCATTGGACTCCAAGCGTAAAGGCGAACGACCACCTACCGTGACGGGCGCTGGCCAATCAGAATGACAAAATGAAACGTTTAAACAAAAGTCACGAAACAACCGGGAATAAGGAATGCAGACCCAAAAGTTGAAAACTAGCACATTAATTGTGTGACAACTAAATATTTCTTTAACATAACCAAGTAGAACAGTGATGAGAAGAAAAAACCAATAGAATATGTTCTTGCAAATAGCGCTGTTGAGAAGGGCATGACGATGAACATCCATTAACAATGACGTGGATGTACCAATCGGGCGGACCCAGTAGAGCGTTTAAACAACAGTCAAAAAATAGAAAATAGGAAGAGTAAAGAATAGCTATCAAGCTCGTTCACAATAAATGAATGTCTAATAACTGTCCTCCTAATATTAGGTTGTACCTCGAGCCGTCGAGAAACGTACGACTTAATAGTTATATGGCGAGAATGTGTGAACTGGGATTCTGCCTAGAAGTGCTTGGCATGCAGAACACATGATGAGAAAAAAGCGTGTTCAATCCACCGAGAAAACGGAGTTGTACGGGTATCTGCATAGTCCATCGCAGAGATAACTGTTATTTGCTGTGGTCTCACTGTGAGTTGTCCAGAAGTAGCTATTGCTATCGGTCGTCAGGCAGAGTGGATAGGGTCCAACCGAAGAAGGAAAAGCAACTCCGACGGTCATCTAACATGCCGAAGTTGTCGAGTAGTGTGGGATTCCATTGTGTTGCCAAGGCTTTTGAAGGATGAAAAGACATGTTGGCAAGAACTGTGTTCAATCGCTTGGAGGTGTGGTGGAGTTCGGTTGGGACAGACTGCACCAGAGCGCCATTGTAAAAATTAATTCGCGCGTCATTTACCTAATCAGAACATGCGGTCACCAGTGAGTGCGATGAAGTAATCAATTTGGGCTATGAAAAGTAGAGCCTTGAGAACAGGAAAAAAACTGACAGAGCGTCCTCAGAGTGTCTCTCCCCTGAATATCTACTGATGACAATTGATGCATAGAAGGACAAATCACGTTTGCCGCAAAGAATGACTGGTCCCAAGGTGTATGCTCACCTCCTGGACACCACAGGCGGAGGATGGACCGGCCGAAATTTGAGAAATTCCAGGTTGTTTGAACTATTGGAAATACTTGGTACCGATCGTGAAGTCCTGATTTCTGAGAGATTTGTGAACAAGCTGTTAGGTTATTTCATCGACAACGTTTTCTTTGACACCAAGCTTCCATTTGGATCCGCTTATTCTCAGAACTCAGAAATTGCAGCCTACTGTCAACTGAAGAGTAGTATGAGAAAAAAGAACCGAAGCGAAGTCCTTGTAACTGAGCCCGTCACAATGTTCTTGCATGGGAGATAAGCATTGGGTGATCAGTAGTGTCTGCGTTGCGCATACACGGATTTTGTTTGTACAGAATATTGCGTACCAGCAGTTTCCCCTAGGTACCTAAGTTTGATCCACCTTATAAGAATTCATTTAGTGATTTTCCTGTTTAAAACGTGGCAATTATCGGGCTAGATGCAGAGCGTTACCTTTAGGCTACGGGCAAGTCTGAGCCCAAAAGAAGAATAACAAAACTTCGACGGTTATCTAGCATACATAAGTTGTCGAACAGTGTGGGATCCCATTGTGATACCAAGAATTTGGAAGGAGGGAAAAGATGTGCTGGCATAAAATGTGTTCATGTGATTGCGAACTTGGTGGAGTCCTATTGTGGTAGACTGCATTACATCGCCACTGGGAAAAGTAATTCGCGCATCATTCACTTAACCAGAACATGTGGTCACCAAGAAGTACGACGAAGTGAGCAGTTTGGGCTGCGAAAGGGAGAGCCTTATGAACAGGAAAAAGCAAGGCATCTTCAGAGAATGTCTTTTCCCTGAATATTCACTGAGGACAATTGATGCAGCATTCAGTAGCCGATGACATGTGCGCCTAATTATTACTTACATGGACAGATCACATTCAAAGCAAAGAATGACTGGTTCCACGCTGTATGTTCGCCTCCTGGATTTCGCAGGCGGAGCGCGAAGCTGCGACAAACGTCGCCGAAATTTGATACTTTCTAGGCTACTTTCAACAGAAGAGTAATGTGAAAAGTCAAACAAAAAGGAGTTCTCGTCACAGTTGTGATAATGCTCGCGCATAGGATACATAAGTTATAGCAGTGTAACTTCTTTGTAGACAGATGTTAATTGCACAGTTTGTGCAACTTGCTTCCCACTATCTACATAATTTTGGTCCACCCTAAAAGAACTCAGTTGGTGATTTTCCTGTTTAAAACATGACAGTTATCGAGCTCGATGCAGAACTTACTTGCAAGCAGACAACGGTTGGAAACAGCAGCTATAAGTATCATAATGCGTGAATGTAAATACTCATAGCAGCGTAAACCTGATCTACATCACCAAGTAACCCACGATTGGATTAAAGAACAAAGTCCGATGTCCTGGGTTTTAGCTAGAACAAGGCCACGTGCGTAAGGCTTACCCGCCAATACGAATACCAACTTGTCGCTATTTCCAGAACTACATTCCTAACCCAATTGTCGATGAGGATGTGTAAGCCACCGGCGTCCTCGTGGACATTCGACGCCGCTGCGAACCATTTATTTTAAATTCCGATTGAACGCAACCGGTGGTTAAGACATCTTCCATCGTGCAATACGAGAGATGTAACCGAGTTAGCAGCAAACTGCTATGTGAACACCTTTAGCTTGCACATACGCCGGTGGTTCACGCGGGCAGGGGGAATTCTACGCCCACGAATATGCCCAGTTCTGGCCGATTTGATGTCGGTAGCATCAGAGCTCAATGAGGAATGGAACGTCATGGATCAAGCGCAACTACACACATGTGAGCTCAACCGAAGCGCCAACAAACACCAACAACAGACAGCATATGGTTATTTCGCTGTGTCCAAAATCACAAACAAGGTGTAGTCTGCGGGTCAGTTTCGTTCATGAGTTGGAGGGTAAGGGTGTTAAGAACGCGTGGTTACGGAGTCAAAGCGATTAAAACGGACAGCTAGACGCATAACCCTAGTGATAATCCAAGTATCTGACCCGCAATCTTTGCTCCCAGATTCTGAAGCCCAGCTTTTACAATCTGCCGCACCCAGAACACATAAGCTCTTTCGGCCGCATATAGAGAAATCATCAGAACGTAAAGCTGGTGTGCAGATGATACATTCTTTCTCTATTTGGTTTTTAATGATAGCATGTAAACACCCAAGGATGGGGTGAGCATAGTAAGTAGTCCATCACAGAAAGCTAATTACATAAACGAATAAGTGGAGCAAGCCGAAATTGCAAAACTGCACTCATCTGCCGAACAGGAATTCCTAGGAATAACCAAACGGGTGAAGGCAGCTCGGTAAACGGTAGAAAAAGCAGCGTTAAACTTTGGGGGGAAATGACTTGTGTTCCCACCAGCGTGCTACGGGAACAACCGTTGTAGCTGCATTGCAGTGTCCTCGGGTGAGGTGACTTTGTATCCGATCGTTCGGGGGTCGTGAAAAATTTCATGATCGTTGCCACCCTGTGCATGAGAAAAATAAGAAACCAAATAGCGCGAATTGATACTGTAAACAGTAGAAAGGTAAACCAAAACAAAGACAATTGTTAGTGAGGATGAAGCGTCGTTGTTGTGTTGACGCGGATGTGATGTCTAAATTGCATGCAATGGTTTGCGGCAGGCGATTCTGGATGTGCCTGTCACCGTGGCCAACATAGGACAGCCACCGAAAGTATGTGCCTTCAGAGGGACCATGGGTGGCCTGCGTGGCACCACGCATAGCTCGATCAGCACACCACACATCCAGTTTAAACCAAAATGAACAAGACCGGGAGTCAGGTGAAGGGGAGCCACATTTCATCACCGGAGTGGCCTTCAAATTTGGACGTGTTCTACGATTTCTGTCTATGGACTTTTTCAACACACAAACCTTATTTATTATTTTTAACTGAGAACCTTCTCGTTTTCATTCCTCACGCGTTTTGCGAAGCTAATCTACTCGTGTGATATGTTGAAATCGCTGTGAGTATCTGCCCCAGAAGATGGTGCATTTTCCAACGACCGTGTTATAAGAAAGAAACGGAGAAGAATCCATAAGAGGTGCAATCGTCTTGTATAAAAGCATTGTGCTCTATGGAGGGTCGCTAATTGTAAGAGAAAGCGGAGGTCTGAACGTGCCTGTATTGCTTAGCGTCATCATCCGTTTGCGCGTTGGAAAATTAGACGAACTATCGTGCATCGTTATTAAATTGCAGGGAGCCTGGTTCCACGAGCAAGTGGATGATTCCACTGTATCCGTTGGGGGATATATTTGCCATCGAATTGACCACCCATGCAGATACCGAAACGGCGTTAGTGGAGTCCTTATTTATTCTACTCCATTTCGGTGTACTGCAACAAGACACATCTATTGTTTCTCTTCTAAATTTACTAACTGTTCAGCACTGCAATGCAAGCGGAGGTGTTTCGATAGCTACTGCTCAATACTGTCCACTACTCTATATATATATATATATATATATATATATATATATATATATATATATATATATATATTCGTAGGCAGACGCAAACTCGCGTCATCAGATTACATGTGAGTTACCTTTAGGATACGCGATGGCAATTACAGTTATAACATCTGCTGTCTTTTTGAGACTCTCTATGTCCGCGCGGACAGGTTCTCCCCCATTGTTGTGCCACCCCGTCTGCTCAACCAGCGACTAAATCAAAGGGCAGCTACTAAACACAACATCAGAAATGCAAAGTAATCTCAACTAACACAACACAAAACGGTTCAAGTTCAGGGTTTAACTTGCTGCTGACCCCACGTAGAGTCGGGTTGGACCTCTGCTTGAGTTCAATCGCCAGCTGTAGATCAAACCAAGCGTACGCCACGGCTCTCGGCTGGCTGTAAGCTGGTTGCTCGTAACACCCGCATCTGATGCGGCTGCGTCGACTTAAGGAGAGGGCGTCTAAAGAAAATGACAGTACCTCAGCGAGGTATCTCAGTGTTCGTACCAAGGAGAAGCTACGTCGGCTTAACCATGTATGTATCTAGTCTATCCTTAGGAACCGCAGCTTTCGCGAACTCTGGAGGATGCTAAAACAATTTAGTGGGGTTGCTCGACGTGCGCCATGTTTTAATGCGATCATAGAGGAATTGAACGGGGGATTCTATAACTGCGATGTTACTATAGCCCCAGAGAGTTCCAGTTCCTCCGTTCTGGGGTCCGCGAAACCTTTGCCTCCAATTGATAGTGCGACTGTGGATAATTTGCTATAGCACATACGTTCCAGTGACATTAGTTGTCCGGACAAGCTATCTCCCATCGTATGCAAAGAATGTGCTAACCTTTTGGCAACGCCTCTTGCGTGTGTATACAAAATGTGTATGCGCCAACACAAAATCGCGGACTCCTGGCGAAGTGTCAGTATCACACCAATGAAAAAATGGACCCAACAAATATATACCATCCCTTGCACTTTGATGCCTTGTAGAATCTGGAGAAAAGCACTCTTGGAATGATGCCGTCCCAAAATCGCTCGAATGATTCCCTTCAAATCGCGTAAAGTAGTTCGAAGTCTTGTCTTGACGTAGTGGCCCGCTTCAGACATTCTGTACCGCCGTCAGTTGAAAACAGAAACAGATCCACTCGCATGCGCTTCCTTGATTATGGCAATGTATTCACCTGTGTAAATCGCGAAATACTGCTAACAGATATATTCATTCAAGGAACAAATCCCTTCATCTTCTACTTGCAAAGTGATTATTTTGCTGGATGCACTCAGATCACCTGACTCAGTGGCAGTCGCTCATCCTCACTAATCACCAACTCCGGAGTTCTTCAAGGAGCAATTCAGTCACCCTTTCTCTTTCCTACTTACCTTATCACTATAACAACCCCCGAAGGAAGGATCTTACTATACTATGCTGACGACAATGTCTTGGGTATCAATTAACGAACTGCGGGTTCCTCACTCAAGGTGCAAGATCATCTGATCGACCTCAATATTTGGTCAATATATGGTAGTGCGTCTCTTAAAGCCTCAAAGTGACTTGACATCCTTTTTTTGCTACACAAAGGAGCATGTTGCCAGCAGCTCCTGACACAGTGTCTTAAGATCTTTATTGAGGGGGACGGATTATAATCGGCTATACCAGTGAAGTACCTAGGTGTGGTACTGAACCAGGATTTATCTTGGACTCATCATGTAAATGAAACATACCCAAAGGGCCGCAGATTGTCTTTCTACGCCTCTCGTCTAAGCGCCGCCTCTGTCTTTCGTGAGTTGCTTCTTCGATTTGTCAGAGCCTGTGTTCTTCCCCATGTGATTTTTCCCGGTCATCTGGGTCATTACGGCAGTTATCCCGATGCAGCGGCGTTCCAATGTCAAATTTGGTCAACGCACTTTTGTCTAAAGCTCATCCTTTTAATAATATGGCATTTGAAATACTGGCTGGTGCAACGCGTTATATGAATGTTTGTCGACTTCGTTTACTAGGCAGAAATACAAACTAATTTATGTTCGCACACAAACCTACCGCATGTCGGTCATCTCTTCTTTCGCGTTTTCTGCGAGACCCAAACTCGATCGTACTAGACCTAACCAGCCGATTCACAGTGTGATGGCATTCCTGACTAATCTTTACCAAACAGCTTTCACGGTACTGTCCTCTAATTTGTGTTTATTTCTCACTATAGTAGCATCATGTGTGTTGTAGCTGAATGTTCATTCGCCCGGCGTGCATAAAGCAAGTCCTTGACTTGACTTGAACGGAGCTGCCCCCACTCAACATGCAGAGCAATGGCATTACTGTCTATCAAACTGGGGAATCATGCACACCAGGCGTACACAAACCGGTGGCTGGGACACAGCCAGGGTTACACTGGATAGACCCCCTCCTTAAGCCTAGCACGGTCACATAGATAGCGCACCCCGTCTCCCCAGGAAACAACCAACTCTCTCCTGGAGTTAGTATAGTTGAGGTAGCAGTCTGTCAACAGGTAGGCACCTTGACAACACTCGGCAGACCGTGGCCTAGTGGTCTGCGTGCTCCGTTTGTAACCGTGAGATCATTGCCTCGTATCCGCATAGGGGGGGTGTCCTCGCCGTATACTCAGTCCGCGTGCGACCGGTTTGGTAAGGCGGCAGCGAAGCGCCGTCACGCACTTACAGCTGACACATAATAATAATAATAATAATAATAATAATAATAATAATAATAATAATAATAATAATAATAATTGTCAACATGCACATCAAGCGCACTCACACCAGGGATATCAAATAACCAATACACAACTTGAAGGAGAATATACACGCAAAATAAACATGGCATACGAAGCAGGATAACAGAACTGAGCAAACCAAATGAAGTCGAATAATTATTATCCACGTCAAGATCTATTTTGTGTACGCCGGGGTAGCGCAAGGAGTATGACGCTACATCAACCACAGGTGTTCTTGCAATAACTGTTGTGAAGTGGAGGCGCAATCAATGCAGACTCGATTTCGACAAAACCCAACTTGCTCCAACCAATATAACTTGCACGGGTAAAAGTCAGTGTATGAAAAACGACAGAGCCAGGTAACAAAGGCAATTAACATAAAACTGGTTCCTCCATGAAAGAAGCGTTCCGAACATGAGCCTACATTGAGAATCAGGACTGTAATGGAGCGGCTCCAGTCTGTCGGAAGAGTATCCTGATTCCACATCTTCACTAGTACGCTGTGCAAATCATTCAAAGGAGCTTGTCCTCCGAATTTGAAGAGGATTGAAGGAGATCCATTTGTTTCAACTGCCTTGTTCCATTTCAATAGTATTACATTAAATTCCTATCGCGATGCGGCTGGAACTTAACGTGGTGCCACGGTTTGCATGTCTCAGCCATCCATTGAGCTACGCTGGGTGGTGTTTTTGCACTTTCAGTGCCACTCATACTAGATTGGGCAATGATTAGAAGCCAGACCAACTCAGTCTCCTGGCCCTCCAGGTTGGGGGTTGGAGTGACCGCGGCTCCTTACTCTATAAACTAGCTCTCTTTAGTCCAGCCTCAAAACTCCGCTGCCTCGCTACAAGTTTGTGAACTATAAGCTTTGGTTGAGAAACCTAGTCGTCCTTCTGTCTAGGCCTAGGCAACCTGACCGCATCCTGCCCATGCAATACCAGAAATCTTAAACAATTTCCTGATGCTCTGGCCACCGCAGGGGATAATCAACGGTGCCATATGGGCTGCATCGAGCACGGTGGATAGGGTTTAGATAGCACTGCTCAAGCCCTCCCGTCTTCTCATTCCCCTTCTTGTGCTTTTGCATCCTTAGCGTCCCTCTCCAACTTCACATGCATCCTCCCGCTTTCAGCCCTCAAAGACTTGGCCTTCCTCACCATGCTTCAATAGTCGGTTGTCTTCTAATTTCTACCCACACAATCGCAGGGAGTCACTCCAATCCAGTCGACAAGTTCATGCTCAATCGAGCGGACAACTTCAGTTCACCCGTTCCTCTTTTGAGTCCTCGCGTCT